CATTATTCACATCCGACTCCGAACTTTCATACTTGAAGTTAATTCGTTTAGTTGAATCACCTAAACAGTAGTGTTAGAGGTGCCAACAATGTGCCAAAATGCGACATCGGTTAATTACCCATGTTCAAACATTCTGCGATTCCGAAAGTAAATCTTATCAAAACTAGTTTATCTTATTGAAATCGACTTCCTCTTATTCTCAATGTTAAATTAAGAGCGGGAAACGATATTCACATCCGACTCCAAACTTTCATACTTGAAGTTAATTTGTTTAGTTGAATCACCTTCCCAGTAATGCTTGAGGTGCCAACAATGTGCCAAAATGCCACATCGGTTAATTACCAATGTTCAAACATTCTGTAATTCCGAAAGTAAATCTTATCAAAACTAGTTTATCTCATTGAAATCGACTTCCTCTTATTCTCAATGTTAAATTAAGAGCGGAAAACGAGAAGTCAGCAAAACTCCCACGAGATCTGAAGATCAGTCATCTTTCGACCTTAAAAAAAGTACAGCATTTCCATACTTTCAGAGGAATCAATTAGAGAGAATAATTTGTTGTTTTAGGGGAGGGGAAGAGGTAATGTTCTGCTAATCTTTTCTGACGAGTGAAATGTAATTAGTTTCGATGAGTGGGAGCTAGGAAGTACGCAAGCCAACAATTCTGAAATGTTCCAGATTTTGAAAAAGTTTTAAGATGGGGATGGGGGAGCGGGGGGAGGGGAAGGGGAGGGGGAGGGGGAGGGTTAGGGGGCTTGTTGCCGCCTAAAACAAGATGGCTTTCAGATGAAGTACAATTTTATGCTTAACTGCATTTTCATTCCCGCAGAGCTTTCCGTATTAAAGTTTAATTAAAATTAATTGTTACAGAGGGATGGGTGGCTTTTTTTTATTGCCCCACATGGTCAAGTTACAAAATAATTGGCATATGATTGTGAACTCAACACAATGAGTGTTTTTTTTTTGGGGGGGGTGAGAAATTTGTGAATACTTGAATAACTAGCTCCAGGAAAGGTAGTATAAGTCTGGACCTTTCTCACTGACTCAACTTCTGAAAGACTTTTCTATTTGAAGAAAAGAAATGGCCTGAAGGGTATGTGCAGCCAAGATATATTTGATGCTGAAAGCATGGTCAATCTGACAGAGGGAAAAAATTGATCGAACGCTCAGATCATTCTCTTAAAAAACAAATCAAAATCTTAATCCCCCATTCTCTCATCGTTCAAGTGTCATGACATGAGCTTCTTGTGTGATCTCGATTCCTTTCTCTTTGCCCAAGGATTGTAGTAAATATCAGGCCTCCAGAGGAATTCCTGAGTATCTCTGGCAGGCAAAACCTCTAGGGGAGGTTGTGTGCGGTCTCTTCAAACACAGACTCCGCTGCACAAAGCAATGGTTTTTACCACTTGGGAGGGCAGGCTATTTGCATTCATACAATTGAGCTCTGTGTACAGGTAGATATGTCTGTTAACTTCTATTCCTGGTGTAGGCCTGTACTTAACACATGGGCAATCCACGCTTCAGGTACATGCCAAGTTCAGTTGTCAGATATTGCTCCAAGTTTGGGCTGTTTGGGATGTGTTACATGCCTATTAAGAAGCATCTCCGCCAGCACTGTCACCAGCTCTGGGCATTGGGGGGGGGGGGGGAGTGGGGGGAACAGTACAAGCTTTGGGGGCACACCACAATTGTAGATATTCTTTAGGCATATGGTTTTTGCCGGTTGGGGGGGGGGGCTGTCTGCTCCACCCCCCCCCCCCCCCTTTGCAACAGGCCTGATCCCCACACCGGATCACACATGTGGTTACAGTATCTTTTTCCCCTGTACTGTGCGTGGTTCAATGCATGTGGTGTGTTACGTGTTGGTAATTGTGTGCCCTTTAGTCCCTTCCTTGGATAAAAAGACACTGCCATGGTTAAAGCTAGTAAATTACACTTCAATTGCAAGAACATGAAGACATATTTATCGTTTTAACACTGTTCATTTCTCATTGAAACCTAAGAGGCAGCTTTTGCTGTTAATTTTTGATAATCAATTATATGTTTTTCTGCAGTCATATTTTGGAAATGCCTCGCGTGTCAAAATCCTGATTGAACTTGTAAAGGAAACAAGGTACACATGTTTTCTGTATATTCTCATTAGCTTCTGGAGTGTAACCAGTTAATTAGATCCTGCACCTTCTTCTTGTTTGCGAAACCGAGAGACGTGAACTTTTATAGGATCTCCTTTTCAGGTAATTTGCTAGGTAGGAAATGATAGCAATGTGGTGTCGGGCATTAACATGCATCCCCTCCTGTTTGGCACTCATTCACGAAGTCAGACACCTGCAACCAAGACGCTATATATGTACACACGTAGGAACCATTTCCTATGCAAAAGGTCAAGACTGTCACTAAAGTACAGTCTTTTATCAATTTCTAGCTGCGGGACTGCAGCTCAACAAATCATCATGTCTCTCTGTTAGTCCGTTAGTTAGTAACAACGTTGACACTGTCTATTACTCCTACATATTTTGACCAATTTCAACCAGACTTCGTCAAAAGTATCAGTAGCCCACCCCCAACATGTCCCATGACCAAACTGGTTTTTTTTTACTCAAAAAATTACTCCTTCCAGAAATTACAAGGCATAATCACGTGACTCATGCATGAACACGAATTCGTTGGCCCGCAGCTTGCGAGATACCGGTATTTCCAATCAAGCTTGTTACAGTAAAATGCACATGTACTGATGCAAAAGCAAAGTGGATGAATGATTACATTTGTACGGCAATGTCTTAGATCTGCTTGAACTCAAAAGAAACACTTGTTAACAACAAAAAACATTTGGGCCACTTTTTCAGAAAATTTACCCACTTTGCCCCCTTCCCGGGTCCAATAGCTGGATACACCAAATGTTGCCAAAAATGTATTCAATATTTATCTACATCATGGGTGCTGTCAATGTTGAAAGCATATCTAGTGTAATAAGTTCCCTTTTTAACTGGCGTGATGCTTGATAAATCTTCATGGTTTGACATACGAAAAAAAATTGGCAGAGATATGAAAAGTGTCAAATTAAGGTTCTGGGCTCCGTGCGCGAGGAATTAAGAGCCCTCTATCTGTGACACACTGTGTGCACGTACAGCACAAAAAGGGACCTTTAAAAATTCTGAATGTGCACTTAGTCAGGAGTTTGGAAATGCGTTTGAATGTCTCTCCCAGTGGTCTCCCCAACTCTCCCTTTGTAACCGTTGAGGGGGTACTTGTGCACGGACCCCATACAGCATGGTATGACTATCATGTCACAACTAGTCAGTGTAACCCATGGGACTTGTTGTTTGAAAACTACATCAAGGCTTCCCTGAAGGGATTAATTGATCAGTTATCATCCAACTTTCATGACAGATGATTGGTACGGATTTCCCCAAGGGTGTTATTCGTAATGATGGAATTTTGCTAATCTGTTTCGAATAATTACCCAGTGGAAGTCAACTTAATGCCTACATGATATCTATAAGCTTGTGGAAATAAATAATTACATTAGTTTTTTTTTCAGCAAGCAGGGTAATAGAAGTTTCCTTTAATTGACCTTGACAGATGGGGGATTAAACTTGAATGATAAATTGTTAGCGACACTTTCATGTTGTTGATTAAAATGTTCGTAGAAATAAAAGTAACCAGGTCATCTTTTGCATCTGGAAGTGAGTCAGACTGAAACATGGCATTCATTAATAACAAGTCTTGTGATGAACTGTGAAGGAGTTATTTCAAAACCGTTCTGACGGCTGGAAAAACATTTCAGACCTTTGTGGTAGAAAACTTGTAGATAACATCAATTAGTTTGAGAAAAACGAGTGCTAGTGCTACTCAAGGTTAGCTTTCATTAAGAAAGGTCATTTACTTCAAGTGCGTTGGGTCGGGTTGGGGAATAACAAAATTGAAACAAAATCAAAGTACTTTTTTCGGAAGTGTAGGCCTACCAAAAAAGCCCCAAAAGTTAAGCCAGTTCAAGGGCAGGCTGACCTGAGAGTATTTGTGCCCTGTGTGTATGCCCCCCCCCCCCCCCCCCCCCCCCCCCCCCCCACTGGCTACTTCTAATGCAAGCAAGCAAGGTACACACCCACCCACAAAACACTCCCAGTTGGGGGTGTCAGGATTACCCCAAACTTGCACAAATTTAGGTTTTGGGCACAAGGTGATGAAATGTACGTAAGGGCCACTCTGTGCTGTCAGCACTGGCCTGTAGTAAATAGAGTTTGAAAAATTAGTGCAGCGTCCTCTAACCGCAAGTTCTGGCAGAACACTGCAGTTTGTGCTGTTACAGTGGCCGTCAATTTCAATGGTTCTACTATGGAAAAAAAAGACTTATCAAAAAGTAGGGGGTTTGTTTTGTTTGGCATATGCATTGCAAGCTATAATATTGTTATGACCACCAACTAATCTTGACTGGCACTATGACCACGGACTGAAAAAAAATAGGCATCTTTTGCCTACTTCTCTCCCTAATTTCCAAACGTCTGGTTTCATCAGTGCTATCCATGGTGGATAGATGCTGAAGACAAAATTGACCAATAATTTAGAAATAAGGACTGACAACTGAGGAAGCCACTTGTACTCAAATTCACAGTGTGGGTGATAAACATTGAAAAAAATAGCCACATTTCCTCATATGTTTTATGTGATGCAGGAAACTGTCTTATGAAACGTTTTTGTTTTTCAGAGAGTGACTAGAATTGTCTTCGTATGTCATTCTGCATGTTTTTATTTTCTGCACTAGAGTTGTTAATGCTTAAATACCCCTCTCTGTGATAAGTAATTCACTTTATGTATACACCAATCCGGGCACACTGTTAATTCTATCACGAAGGCCCCCTTCAATGGCGAAAGCATTGTGTTAGCTATTGTTCAGATAATCCTTCACGGGGCAGTTGCTTTGTACAACAGCGTGTACATTGCTTTCTCCATTGAATGGGGCCTTGTGAGATCACGTGTCCAGACTCAAGGGATTGGGATCATACCTTTGCAAGCCTTGCGATGCGTGACGGGCTTGGCTTCGTCTCTGTAGAACCCCTCCTTGCAGTAGTGGCAGTAGCGTCCCGCCGTGTTGTGCCTGCAGTTCAGGCAGACCCCGCCGCTCTTGCGTCCAGACAGCTTGTACAGCTCCATGTTGAAGCGGCACTTGCGAGCGTGCAGGTTGCAGTTGCAGGCTGTATATGCATGGAAACATGATAAAAAATTCAATTATGGCTGATTTAATGCATTTTCACGATGTTCTCCTCAGAAGTACTCAAGCCATAGTCAAGTCAATCACAAGTCAATCTCAACTTTCAATCCCCAGTCATCAGGTCATGAATATGGACCGAAAAAGAATGCGTCAGACTGGATGACTTGTGATTGACTTTCTGAGGCCTAACTACAACTATGACAAACATGGCGCACAAATGTCTGTCTCTTTCTCTTTGCCACTGATGCAAGGCACTTGTACACAAAGTCACAAAGGCTAAATGTAAAAAGATTTTAATGTTTTTTTTGACACTTTGTAGAAATTGTTGAAAAAAGTGTTTCTTTCTACTTTAATTTAATCGTAAAAACTTAAGAAAACAACAGTGGGGTATCAATTGTATTTTTGGAACCTCAAATAATCACACACTGGTGATTTTATTGGAGCAAATTATATTCACGGCATGTTTGACTTGTCCAACCAGGCAAAGGAAATTTGAAGGCACAGTCGAGTGGGATCATGTTGCGCTGTAATGTGAATAGGAAATCGTCACGGTGTGATTTTCACAGAAAGAGAAATTGTTCAATTTGAAATGCGTTTTGGAAGAGTTGAGTCATTTTCCCATATGAATCGGAGACCATTACAACTTGAAGTGTATTTAACAATATTTGAACTTTCCATCTTACTCCTTTTTTTAAATGCATTTTATTTACGTGCCTACTTTTCAAAGTACACATTTATAGTCTGTTGCCTTTCCTTAACAAAATATTATCATTTTTCCAACCAAACAAAAACATCAAAATTGGCTGCTGAAAAACAATAAAAGCATGTATGTTAAATACATTTCACACCCTCACTCGTACCAAAACTTTTGGGGCACTACCCTCTTCAGCATATCCCATAGTTTGTTCGGATAAGACTTGGAAATCAGCTTACGTAAATTTGCCAATACTTATTCTTTTTATATTTTTGCAGTCACGCAAATACTTTTCCTGAGGATTTTTGTAACTGCAAAAGTACCAGATTATTTCAGATTATAACACTTTATGCTCTTATTTGTCAGCTTTAGTTCCTCTTGAGTGCTACTAATCCAAACGGACACTGCGAAGGGGTAAATCTGGGTATAGATTCCTGAAGTAAGAATTCAAATGTACTCCAGGGAATAAACTTGAAGAGAACGCTAGCTGCTCTACTCTAAGACCCTCACAGAGACAGCTAAATGTCTGTCCTTTTCTGGATAAGATACAATAATAACAGCGTCTCAATCCAACAAGCCTTTCAACTGCATCCCTATAAAGGAGCCCTTGTCTTTCTTTGCAGTCCAGTCTAAATCCAAAAAGTGTTTCAAGCTAACAATGTCCGTGAAGGGAAGGGAAAACGAAACAAACTACCCCGCTGCACTTTTTAGCGGCAGTGAGCTCAGTCGTTGGGAGGATTAGGCCGGGGAGGGTCGAGTTACCATCGCCCTGAGGTATCTTCGTTTCTCCTTCTATTGAAGAGGGACGGGATTTAAAATAAGAGAGTTTGATGTTTCATTCCTGAGAAAAGGAAAAGTTCTCTGACACTTTCCTTAAATCTCAGGTTGTGGTTCTGCTGCATGGGTGTTGCTTTGTTTTGACAGAGTATGGGGTACATTTTTGGTGTACTACTCCCTTTTCGTGGGCTGTGTGGGGATTGTTTTCCAAACTTTGGTTCTGGAGGGTTGTCTGAAGGTAACTGAATCACACGCCAAGTGTGAGTGACTGGCAGGGCTCGAAAAAAGCAGGTGTCACTTCAGTACCACATTACATGTATTTTCAAATGTTGTGTCAGCTAAGGCCATGATGTAGTTGAAATGTTTCTCACAGTATAAATTCTGACCCACAGTTGTCTTGAAAATGAATTTTCAGTCTGTTTTGTGAATAAGTTTCAACATTATATATATACATCTTAGTATGCATTCTTACTTCATTCTTTGTCCACGAAATTAGATACATGTAAAATTTCCAACTGGGCTCAAGCCAAGAATAATTCCAAATCTATGGAAACATCTACAATACGGAAAAGAAACCCATCAGATATTAATCTGTTGGTCACGATGGTCTTTCAAGCCCTGACTAAGCATATAGTTTGTGGCTCATCATCGCCTTTGCAGAAAAAAAGAAAATGACGGTCTGTCTTTTCAAAAACTCGGAAGTGGCACTCCTGTATTCATAGGCCATTTCATTTGTTTGAACTTAATTTCTTGAGTAAGTGCAAGTGGGTGGTCGATTGGGTGGTTGGATAGGCTTATGCAATTTGCTCTCAAGACTTGATTGAAGGGGGTCACTTAATGATATGAGTGGGTGCTTTCTACAACATGCAGGTGGTATGAAGCATTTCAGTTGATGCTTCCGCAAACAGTTTGTGGATGTGGTCCCCACTTTCTTTTTGTCAAGCCACTCAAGTGTAAGGCACACACAAAATTCCTGGGAAGTTTTTTTGATGATCTCGGGAAAGTTGCTCCCCTCTTCAAACCAACGCTCCTCTCCGCAAACAACGAGGAGACAAAAAAGGAGAGGGAAGTATTTGTCATCACCGCGGCGCTGAGAAAACAATGGCTCTTCAGGTGTTTCGAGAAAAGGGATTTAAGAAAGAATGTTAACCGTGTTGTATTGTGGCTGGAGTGAGTTTGGGGGGGGGGGGGGGTGATGATGATGAATCAACGAACAAGACGCATTACGCATACTGACGGCAATAACTGGCAGGTGTGATATTTGAGTGTTTGGTGTGAATCGTAGAATGGCTAATGGAGGACGATAGGCCTCTTAATGAGTACACTGCAAAAAGATTTTGCTGCTTGCAAACATCGGCAATGTATCAAGTTGGCCTCTCGGTGGATTGTACAGCTTCTGTGCGTCTTATGGCGTGAAAGCAATCAATCCTTGATGCAAATGAAACCAAATCCTAACTCAAGCCAATTCAAACTTCTTCTTTGTATCACATATTGTATAATTAACTATTGATGTTGGGTATGACAATTCTCAACCCCAGAGGGAAGCATGACAGCTTAGCTAAGGGTGCCATGCATTTGCCCCACAAAATATATCTCTGGTTGTGCTGTACTGTATATATTCAACTTGAGGTCCACAGGAATAGAGAGCAATTCCACTATTTCCACTTGAATAATATACATGTACATGAATGATGTCCAAGACAATCACATTGATCCAAGACAATCACATTGATCAAGTAGATGTCTTCAGCTACAAGAACAGTGGTTAAGCAAAAATGCTGAGAACTAACACAAGCAACATACATAGCATGGCATTATAATTGGTCGGTAGCCTCTTTTGATTAGGTACATATTTCTGTCTTCAGCGAATTCCTGATCCTTTGCTTGGCAGTTCCGAAAATTCAATTCTTGCATTGGCACCTATATACATATTACTGAGAAGTTGACTCGTAGGGCCTACATGTATTCTGCCAATGTGTGCACTTCAATATCAATTCAAGTGCCATTACAACATAATCTCTGGCATATGGAATGAACATCAAAGTAGCACGGCCCCTGGCTGTGTGGTCTGCTCCAGATATGCTGATCACTGTGGCACTTGGCACTGACTTGGGAGATATGATACGGCACTGGCAAATTATATCAAACCCACAGCATTGAAGATAACAGACACACAGGCCCTACCGCCTAAGATGTGTTTGCTAGGTCTTCAACCTCAATATTTGATGTCATCTGATCTTTGTTTTATCTGAGGGTGCGATATGATAACATTATCTAGCCTAATCACACTAATGTGTGGATGTTATTGAGTAATCTGAACCTCTTGCAGTTGCACCTTGGGATATTAAGCTAGAAATAACATCCACACCTTTTAAATTAATGTCACTTTCATTCATTAGACTATACTAGTGACCACATTAAGGTGGGCTACAAAGTATTGAAAAAAATATGGCTATTGTTGCAGGTGTTTTTGAGTAGATAGATAATTTAGAGAAACACCATTGGGCTAACAGTAACACCATGCATCCGAATTCGCAAACTTGAAGCACATGGCAACCTCTTTCTTTAGCCATTGTACAGAACATGGAGCTTGCTCATTTCTCCGTTTTCTTCTGCAGGAATAAATGCATAATAGCAACTCTTACATTCAGTCTCTGTACAGACAAGCAGATATTGCTCATTCATGCGTCCCTTCTCTACCAACCACCCTTGTTCAGAGGCTACTGTTTGGGGATATCAGTAACCTTTTAAATTGGGGCCAATTTGATGGCCAGCGATACTAATTGGGTTTTCACACCCAAGGTCCAAGGAGCAAGTGTCAATCAAAGATAACATGATAGACTGTAGGCAAGTCAAACTTGTGCCAGACAGACAGCATTTCATAAGCCAGGCTAGGCATGATCAAGTTAATGTTAATTGACCAGTTTACAGCCTTCCCCCAGTCCACAGGTGTGCCTTTTGTGTTGTCCCTGTGGTCAAACCCTCCATTCACATGACTCTACCCATAAAAACCACACAATAACCTAATTGGAATCAAGATCATGTCTGGGATGGGCCCATGTCAGTCCTGATACACAGCTGGATAATTGGGTGTGAAAAACCAGCAGCTCAAGCCACACTTGAGGTGGGCCCAACTGGTTGCTAAATAGTCTAGTCAGCCTACTTAACTGTAACACCTTGGACACAGCACACCTGGACATGTACAGTTAGGTTCTTGCTGAATACCAAATAAGCATGAAACAATATTGATCTATAGCAGTACAGTTCCAACAGATCTTTCAAGCAAACAGTCATATTCAGCTAGGCCAATTTACTTGGAAGCCGAGAGAATCCTAGAGAGAGATGGCTAAAGAAATGTTCAGTTTAAAAAGTGGGAGGAAAACCCAAGACTTATTTTCCAGAATAACCAATGGAATCAGGTAGAGAATGAAAACCCAATCCAGTGTCTGCCTGGGTGGGATTCGAACCCAGGTCACGAGGTGCAAGGCAAGGAAAGTACCATGCCAACTCAA